AATCCTTTAAAGGAATTATATTCTACTAGCTGATACTACTTCAGATTTACTTTTACTGCCATGATTTCATCTGCTGCTCATAATGTCCCAATTTGTCGACACGAAAGTCCCACAATGCATTATCATAATACCCTCATATATATATATATATATATATATATATATATATATATATATATATATATATATATATATATATAATACCTTTTGGGTTTGTGTAATTATGTATACACAATAAAATAACTATGAGGTGAAAAGAAGAGGAGGAGAAAGGAAATAAATGATCGAGATTGGAAAGTTGCGAGGAGATCACAGAGGACGTATTTGTTCATGATGATGATAATAGTGATGATAATGATTGGTGACATTAATGAGGATAGTCGGATGGTGTTGATGGCGTTGATGATAATAATGATGTTGATGGTGATCAGTGCCGTACGCAGGATTTTTTTAAGGGAGAGGGGGGGGGGGGGGGGGGGTTAAAATCGGGCAAAAAATTTCGGGGGGGGGGGGGGGTTAGAGGACACTTTTTTTTTTTTTTTTTTGTCTCGAAATTTGAAAAATTGACATTTTGTTCCGTTGGGGGGGGGGGGGGGGGGTAAGTAGGACACCTTTTTTTAGGTCAGCCATTGGCATAATGTTTTTGTTTTTGTTTTATTATTATTATAAAAAAAATACAAAAAACAAAACAAAAAACAAACTCAAAAGGGGGGGGGGGGTTTTAAAAAAACATACACAAAACATACACTTACAAAAAACTCAAGGGGGGGGGGGGGGGTTAAACCCCAAAACCACCCCCCGCGTACATGCGCCTGATGGTGATAATGCAAATATTGAAGACGATGACTATGATACGGTTGATGATGATAATCATCATAATCATGCTGACGAAGAATGTTCCTGATGATGAAAAAGATATCGATGACGACGATGATGATAAGGACAACGTGAGCTTACCCTGCCAGTTCTGAGTGAGAACAGGAGAAATCACCGCCAGCAAACACACCAGACATAGCCGTGTCAGCATAGTCTTGCCTTTTTCAAATGGAGTGCATTCGTTTTCTCGAAGTTCCGAAGAGAAAATTTCGGATAGAAGGGGATTTCGAAAATGAAGTTGGGTTCTGTGTCCCAAACGTTAGTTATTCCAAAAAATAATACAAGGTTCGATGTGACGGAATGACGAACCTATTTCATTTTTAATTAATCCTATTTTCCATTCGGATACACGAACTTTCAGAATTACGCACTTTTTGGAATTATGAATCTTCGGAATAATCAACCTTCAGAATGAACCTTCGGAAAAACGAGTTTCAAAGATAATCACAGGAAAATCCAATCTTGATAGACAACTGCTATATAAAAGGAAGCATACAATTCAGAGAAACAGACTGGTGAAAGGTGTGAATGCAATCGGATAAATAGAAAGTTATGATTAAACAAACAAAAAACTACTATAATTATGATTAAAAGTTTCCCCATTGCGATCCAGAGGGTTTCTTTGAGAATTGCAGCATGACAAGAACTCGGCTTTTAATAGCTTAGAGTTTGCATGCAGTCAAACTAAGGAAGCAAATGCATTGAGTATACTAATAAGCACCTTGGCCCATTGGTATAATAATACATTACCGGGTCAACTTGAAAAAAGCTGGTCATTCTTTCATACAAATGGACATGAATTAATGTATTCTCATACCTTTAATCAAATTTATTTTTAAGTTTCTAAGTTTAGCGAGGGAGGAAAGCGATTGAGTAAAATTGAGTCTATTTGTTGTTGTTGTCGTTTTTGTATAACTGAGACACTTAAATAAGTACATAATGTATATCTGAAACGTTCAAATTAATTTTGAAATTTAAGTTTGGCAGTGCATTAGGCATAATATGGAAGATGAAAAGGAACATTATACATTACAGAGACCATGGCGCTGCCGGAATAGGTCAATGTTTTCCGAATAATGGTAATTTCAAAGTATTCAATGAGCCTCGTTTCAACCAATGAATTTTGTTACTAACAATTCGAAAGAGGAGATTAAAGAGGAGACATGACATCAGCATCGGGTTTTTGTTGGTAGAATAATAATACTCACATGCACATAATTGTGGATATAGTTTCCTTTTACGTTACCATTTATTCCGTACTATGCAAAATCTCGTACAGTCATGTATGTATGTTAATCCAATTTTAATCTTCCATACATTATGCGCAAACTCTCATGTCCTCCTATAGTAATTAGACATGCATGAACAAGAATAAAAACGTATCGTAGTCAGTCCACTTTAAAACTGTAAGTCTGTTGATAAGCTACACAATGAATCATGTACGTATCGTGGACATCGTGTGTTTCTTAAAACGCGAAGTAAGGTATCATGCATCAATATTTACTTAAAGGTTGATAACCCTGTGATCTTGACGAATGAACTGGTTACAATGTAATGCTAATGAAGAGAAAATTTATAATGGTCCTGTTAATCGTTGACAGGGCTGTTGTGCGTCCCATCAAGAAGATGATGTGTATTGGAATCAGGCGCGTACGCAGGATTTTTTCAAAGGGGGGGGGGGGGTTTAACATTTATAAATCGGGCCGAAAATTTCGCAACGGCTCAGCCAGCCGCTGAATAAGCGGGGGGGGGGGGGGGGGGGGTAAGAAAAAAAAATCCAAAGGGGGTTATGGGGGGGGGGGGGGTTTACACACAGAAAAATACCAAAGGGGGGGGGGGGGGTTAACCCCCAACCCCCCTGTGTACGCGCCTGATTGGAATGGTGTGTATCAGCATTGAGGGGTTATTTTCTTGTTATTTGTTAGCCAAAGTGAAATCAATATCTTAAGTTTACATTGAACAAAGATGATGATGACATATTATCGTTGTGTATTTTGTGTTTATGTTACCAGCAGTAAATACATAAATACCGCGCGCACACACACACACACACACACACACACACACAAAGGAAGCTTGTTAGTTCGATCACTGCAATTTATGTGACACTAAATTTTTTCATTATATTTCTTATGATGTTGATGTTGTATAATTCCCAAAATAACGTAAATACACCTTATTCTTAACAACTAAAAATATACATGCCAATTAAAGACTCATATTAATTGTCTATCGTCAAGATATTGATAAATGTGAATGTTATAGAGCTTCTATATCTATCATCTATCATAAATAAAAAGTTTTTTAAGTCTAATTTGTCAGTTATAATTAAGTAGATCGAAATCCTCAAACTCCTTTTTAAGGATAACAATTGTAACAACAGCATATACAGTGTGAGTCAAAAAAAATTTTACATCTAATTATATAAAAAAATCATCTATGAAAAGTAAATTAGTATACAGCTTATGAAAGAGAGTTTTATCCCAAATCATTTAGAATCATTTTGTGTGGTATGTGTTCACGCTTGAATGAACATGAGGCATAGACTTGCGCCAAAGTTGCTTAGGTGACTGATGTTTGAATAAAACAATTGGGATTTGGGTATTAATTCGGTCTTTGCAGATCCAAATAACACCCCTAACAAAATTAATCATATGCCACACATATCAAATATCTAATATCAAATATCAACCAACATTAATTTGTGCGCGCGCGTGTGTGTTTGTGTAACTTTGCTTCTGCAAAAAGCAAAAAGCATATGCAATGCATTTCATTTGATACATATTCTCTCACTCCGCTAATCCCAACATGATACATACTAGGCTGTAGGCAGACACTGTATAGACACGAGTCATTCCTTTAATTCAAGGCCTATATATTCATCCTTAACAATTAAAGAATATTCTTATTAGTAAGTTTTAGGCATGGAGTTTGTCACAGTTTAGGGAATAAGGAAATAGTGATATGCTTTGTACAGGCAGGCTCAGCCCTTGCATTAAAATTCACATGAGAATTGCTATTGAAGATGACTATATAAAGAAGGACTCTGACAAGACGAGTGACAGATTTTAGAGATTTGCCTTTTTGTTATGGGGCACCTATATAGATCTATCCTACTACAAAGCATATTTAGTTACACCTATCTAGTATCCGATGTCGAAAATACGGTCTCAAATGCTAACTGAATGTGCTTCGTAGTAGGATAGATATATAGGTGCCGGATACTAGTAGTGAGTTGGTTGAAGAACGAAGCCACGTACAAAAGTATAATCGATTACAACAGTTGTGGGGCCGATATTCATAGAATATAGGTTTTAAATAAAATATTCACTTCTACTTTCAAAAGGGCTGGCCCATTTGCTTTAAAAAAATGTAGAGAGTTATTATTATGTAATTTCTAGAAAAAATGTCTACTACATGATTTACCGAGTTGCTTCCTTTTATCAAATCTATACACGTAAAACAATATGAGGACAGACTGTGCGGATAGCAAACCGCACGGATCGTCCCTCGGACGATCCGGTCACACCGGTCACACCGGCCTCAGCTCATAACCAAAGAAAACAAAAAGGCAAATCTCTGAACTCTAGCTTCATGCACTCGTCTGGTATACTTTTGGGTTTTCCTTTTCTTACAATTTATATGATGTTTAGTTCTAGTTTTGTTCAAAAGGAAACGTTAATTCAACAAGCAATATTCAGCCGTATGAGGAAAATCACCCCCTGGACATGCAATCACCCCCAGAAAATTACCCGGAAAATGACCCCCCCCCCCCCCCCCCCCCCCCCCCCCCCCCACCCTCCCATGACACTTACCCCCGGAAATTACCCCTTATAAGGACAACCACCCCGAGGACAATTACCTTCCTGAAAATTGCCCCCTAAGATAATTATTGTCGAGTATAAATTTGTGTGACAACCAATTTCAATGATAAAAAAAAAGATATTTGATCCAGGGATGTCTCGCCTCCATGGGTGATCCAAAGGCATCCTCGGAGCGGCTGCTCAATTTTTAGTATCGCCAGGCCATCGCAGAGCTAGATCGAGCACCGAGCCGATCGACCTCGGCGGCGGCTGTAGCCGCGCCGCTGTACTGTTACGCTAACGTCCTGGCAAGCTAAGAATGGACACGTTGATATGTCGAGAAACTTACGGATCTAAGTCAGATCCAAGAGACTATTTGTGTAAAAATGATGGCACAATATCAGAGTCACGATCCGGTAACAGAGGGCTGTCATCTATTCTGCACTTCTTACGGGTAAGGCTGACATTTTGATATCAATCATTGTCAATTTTCAATGCTCAGCCCCACATGTGGTTATATTTGTTAGTTTTAATGTAACGGGTGATACGATAATGTTATTTTCTACAGTAGACCTACAGTCTACCGCTCGGTATTTTCCCTCTTTTTTAGATTAAGCATTTTCAACGATTAGGTTGACTAGCAGTGAAGAGACCTCTAATTGTGGGAAATTGTGGTAATGTTATGAGCTGAAGTTATGCAGCACTCCTAATTTGAATATAACTTACAAACCTGTAGGCTGTAGATCTATGTGCTCATTGTTAAACAGCCATGCACATTCATTCAGAAGCAACCATGCAGAAAGCACTCTTCAATACAATACTCTTGGCACACAGAGTGTGTGATGTATTTAATGAGTAATTAGCCATGCACACATTCAACCCTCATAGCATGCCTTATGTACTGGACATGTGAGAGTGGTAAGTTGCACTTGACCACTAGCATGCACAGCATAAGCATGATGTTTTAGTTACACCAATAAACTCCTGAACCTCAAGCAAAGATATGTGGAGTTTTATTACTTTCTTGACCCAGCTACATTTAGTAAAGTACTAACCAAGAAGTCAACATAACAAACCCACTATTTTTGACATGGTGGCAAGCGGTGAGTGCAGGTCACCAACATGCCAGTTTTTTGTGCCAGTCTACCAAGTACCAGTACAGTACCATGTGCTACACAGCAGCAGCCATCTTGGATTTTGCAACACAGCAGCAGCCATTTTGGATTTTTCCTTGTTCAGGAGAAACACACAGGAATTTGTTAGACACCATAATTCCATGAACAGTTAGTTTGTTTGATGCCTAAGGGTTAGTGGCGACACATTCCAGCATTTTGTTCCTTATTCTGAAGCACAGCATTGAAGTAACATTAACATGGCTGATCATATACCACGAATGGATTGGGGTGCACCAAACCTTGCTGAAGCTTTTCGTATGTTCAGACAGAGATTGAGCCTATACTTTTTGGCTAAGCATACGCCTAAGGAGGATGAAGTACCTATCATTCTACTTGCTGCGGGTTAAGAGGGCCTTCATCGATACAATTGTTGGACATTATCAGAGTCTGAACAAACAGCAAAGATCATCCTAGATCGTTTTGAGGAGCAATTAGAACCTCAAGACAATTTTCGAGTATGTCGGCTGAAGCTGTCGAGGACCATGCAGAGGCCAGATGAAAAGCTGGACGATTTCATAAACAGATGTCGACAGATAGCTCGTAAATGCGATTTTGATCACAAGGAGTTGGATGAGCGAATCCTTGAACAGATTATTGCCAGCACACCCATTGCAGATTTCCGGAAAGACCTACTTACTACAAAGAAGGACTTTACACTACAGGGTGCTCTACAGCTAGGAAGGACATATGAAGCATCAAAGTCACATGTCCAAACCCTCCAGTCTCTGTATCATCCAACACAGAGCATAGATGCAGTGCAACGGCAGAAACAACCTAAGAGTTTATGTAAGAACTGTGGGAGACAACATAGATTCGGCAAGGAGTATTGTCCAGCAGCGAGTGTTACATGCTTCTCGTGCAATAAGCAAGGACATTATGCTCAATTGTGCCTATCAACCAAGCTCAAACCATCACAGAAGTATCATACATCGTATGCATCTTCCCGGAAGAAGAGGGGAGTGGGTGAACGCGAACGCCCATCACAACGTTCCAAACAGGTGGATAACGTGCGAGAGGAACACACCGAATCTGAAAGTGAACTGGGTACGTTACCACAACGATTTGACAGATTTCATTTTGACACGATTGTCATTGACTCGGTGAAGAGGAATGAAGCTATTGCACACTTGGACATTAAATTGAAAGACGAACCAGGTGTCCATGACCTGAAAGTAAAGGTGGATACAGGAGCAGAAGCGAATACACTGCCACTTCGAACTTTCAGAAACATGTATCCAGAGCAGCTTGATCGTCAAGGCTTTCCACGAAATTTACCAGATGCAGGCACAATCCTTTCAGCTTACAATGAAACGCTGATTGGTCAGTATGGAACAGTTGTTATTCCCTGCAAGTATAGAGACACAGCATGGACTGATACCTTATTCTACGTGGTTCAGTCCAACGGCCCAGTGATACTTGGTCTCCAGTCATCTGTGGAGTTTGGACTTGTTACTCTCCATTGCTCTTTGAACATTGGAACGCAAGTCAGTGGTGTCCAGGCTCTAGTACAACTCTTTCCACAGCAGTTCGATAGGATTGGAGAATTTCGTACCACACATCACTTGACAGTTGACCCCAACGTTCCAAGTCATGTTGACGCTCCTAGAAAGATGCCTATTGCCTTGAAAGACAAAGTCAAGGCAGAACTGGACAGTATGGAGAGCCAGGGTGTCATCAAGCAAATCATCGAACCAACCGAATGGGTGAACTCAATCACATATGTCACCAAGAAGGATGGAAGCATTCGCATTTGCTTAGACCCTCGCAGATTGAACAAGGCACTTATCAGACCTCACTACAAACAGCAGACCTTGGAGGAGTTGAATCACAAGTTTCACAACATGCAGCACTTCTCCAAGTTAGATGCAAAGTGCGGCTACTGGTCAGTTAAGTTAGATGAGGCCAGCCAAAGACTTACCACATTCCAGACACCTTTTGGAAGATATGTCTTCTGTCGCCTACCATTTGGACTCAGTGTAAGTCAGGACATTTTCCAGTTGGAGATGGACAGAGTTCTAGAAGGCTGTAAAGGGGCAGAATGCATAGCAGATGATATCGTAATCTTTGGACGTACAGTAGAAGAGCATGACCGCAATCTTCTCGACTTCATGCAAGTAGCAGCAAAGAGAGGCCTCACACTGAACTCAAACAAGTGCCATATCAGGCAAACGAGTATCAACTTCTTTGGTAATCGATACTCAAAGGATGGTATCCAGCCAGATCCCCAGAAGGTAGCTGACCTCGCAGGAATGCCGACTCCGAGCACCAAGGCTGAGTTGCAGCATTTCCTAGGTTTCATTACCTACCTGTCTCACTTCATCCCAGATTTCAGCACAAAGACTGCAGTTCTGAGAGATCTCCTTAAGAAAGAGGCTGATTTCATCTGGGAACCACATCATCAAGCAGCCATGGAGAAACTCAAGCAAGAAGTTTCAGAGAAATCACTACTCCAGTTCTTCGACACAACATCCCCAGTGTATTTGCAGTGCGATGCAAGTCTTCAAGGGTTAGGAGTTGCACTCCTACAGCATGACCAGGAAGGTAGACTCCGCCCAGTAGCTTACGCAAGCAAAGCCCTATCTTCAACTGAAACACGCTATTCGTGTATTGAACGAGAGCTGCTTGCTATTGTGTTTGGAGTAGAACGTTTTCACACATATCTCTATGGCAGGCTATTCCATGTAATCACAGACCATAAGCCACTTCTGATGATTATGGACAAACCTCTCACAGCAGCCCCTCCAAGGCTACAAAGGATGTTGATTCGACTACAGGGATACAACTTCCAGATCACACACCGTCCAGGACTAGACAACCTGCTCGCAGACAGTCTCTCACGATTACCAAGCACTCACAACAATGAAACAGTTGAACTTGATCTGAGAGTAGATCTGGTGCAGTTCTCGTCAAGGAAAGTAGATGAACTGAAACACGCTACAAGCCAAGACAAAGTCCTAAGTGCACTGATGGAAGTTATTGTGACGGGCTGGCCTGATACGGTGAAGCAAGTGCAACCAGAGTTGAGAGAGTTCTGGAGTTACCGAGATGAGTTAACAGTAAGCGACGGTATAATTCTCAAGGGAAGCAGAGTTGTAATTCCCAAGCAGATGCAACCAGACATCTTGGAGATGCTCCATACCAGTCATCTAGGCCAACAAAAAACCAAGTTGCTGGCCAGAGGAAAGGTGTTCTGGAGTAACATGAACAAAGACATTGACAGAGTGGTGCAGTCATGTGTGAGATGCCAGGAACATCAACCAGCACAAACGCCAGAGCCACTCCAGCCACACGACATTCCCACGATGCCCTGGAACACGGTGGCAACCGACATGTTTGAATTCAAAGGCAAACAATGGTTAATTGTGGTGGACTACTACAGCAAGTACCCAGTGGTTCGCCAGTTACCAGACCAAGCAACAAGCAGTGCTGTAATCACTATGATGCAACAAGTGTTTGCAGAGCATGGCATACCAGCAAAGGTGGTGAGCGACAATGGACCCCAGTATGCCAGTTACCAGTTCAAGTCATTTGCAGAATCATGGGGTTTTGAACATGCTACATCGTCCCCAAGACGACCACAAGGCAACGGATTTGTAGAGAGACAAATCAGAACCATCAAGGGTATCATGAAGAAGACTTCAGACATTCAGCTAGCACTACTTCTTTGGTGTACAACTCCCATATCAGAGAAACTACCAAGTCCAGCTGAAGTTCTCATGAATCGCCAGTTGAGAACTACACTCCCAGCCAAGTTGCAGAGAACACAGCCAGATGCTGATGACATCTACAATCAGCTGCAGGAAAGACAGAAAAGTCAAAAATTCTATTTTGACAAACATGCCAGAAGAGCTGACTTGCCAGAGCTTTACCTTGGGCAAGATGTAAGATATCGCGACCCAGTGTCCAGACGGTGGTGTCCTGCGACAGTAGATACCAGGGCCGAGGGACAGCGCTCCTACATTCTCCAGAGCCCTGAGGGAAGTTACCTACGAAGAAACAGGCAGCACATAAGACCTGACCATACCGACCAGTCTACAACTGAGGTTCCCAGGGGTGATGATAGCAACGGCCAAGGTGATGAAGGTGCCTCATCCACTGACCACGATGAGCAGTTGAGCACTCCACATCGTGCATTCCCCGAACCTCGAAGCAGCCCAGGACGGGAGGAGGCTCCACCTCGAAGCCCAGGACGGGAGGAGACTCCACCTCGAAGACAACGTTCATCGCGAAACACTCAACGCCCTAAAAAGTATGATGATTTTGAGATGTAACTGATGAAGAAGCACAAATTCAGACTGAACTTGAACTTTTAAGACAATAATGACTCAGTTGACATTCAGTTATCAACCAATTTCAACATTGGATCACATCAATGTAGGGACACGGGTGGTAAAGACCTGTGATCGAAGGTGAAGTTCTGGAACCTCTCCCTTCTTAGTCGCGAAGAAAGTATATATTTATATATATATGTTGTTGTTGTTTTTTTACTATTTATTTCAGTACAATATATTGTTCCATTGTTTTCATACAACTAAAAATATTGAAAACTGTTGTCTATTATTGTGCAAACTCACACAGGAGATAAATGCATCAAATGTTAAGGTAAATCTTAATTGTGCAAAATATGTTCACACTAACATCATTTGAAAGTGGTATTAAGTAACGTACAAAAATACCAAAGTTCACATGGATTAACTGTGAACTGTATACTAAAAAGAAGTAACTTTATTTGTTTTAATCTTCATGAATGCTAACGGATTTTCATTGATTTATACAGTTTGGTATACAATGTGACAAACCAGTCGTTAGAAAATGATATTGTTTTGAAGAATAATGAGAAAAACTGTATTTCTGCTGATGATCAAGGTAACCCTTTCCAAGTGAAAAGCATCATTTTTGTTTTCCGACTTGTATACTGGATGTGTAAAACCAGTTGATAGGTATCATCCTCACTCTTTTGAGGATTCTAGTTTTTTTAAATTTGTTTAAATGGGGAGTAGGGGAAAGGTTGAACAGAATTTATTTTCAAGACATTTGTCAAGTGCTAAACTTGTAAGTAAAACAAGAAGCAAAGATGGACGGGATGAGAGGATGAAAAGTTTTTAACTTTCAAGAGTAAAAACTTGTATTGTTATTTTGAAGAAAGGGAGATGTAATGTTATGAGCTGAAGTTATGCAGCACTCCTAATTTGAATATAACTTACACCTGTATGTGCTCATTGTTAAACAGCCATGCACATTCATTCAGAAGCAACCATGCAGAAAGCACTCTTCAATACAATACTCTTGGCACACAGAGTGTGTGATGTATTTAATGAGTAATTAGCCATGCACACATTCAACCCTCATACACTGCCTTATGTACTGGACATGTGAGAGTGGTAAGTTGCACTTGACCACTAGCATGCACAGCATAAGCATGATGTTTTAGTTACACCAATAAACTCCTGAACCTCAAGCAAAGATATGTGGAGTTTTATTACTTTCTTGACCCAGCTACATTTAGTAAAGTACTAACCAAGAAGTCAACATAACAAACCCACTATTTTTGACAGTTATATTTGTTAGTTTTAATGTAACGGGTGATACGATAATGTTATTTTCTACAGTAGACCTACAGTCTACCGCTCGGTATTTTCCCTCTTTTTTAGATTAAGCATTTTCAACGATTAGGTTGACTAGCAGTGAAGAGACCTCTAATTGTGGGAAATTGGGGTTACAGTCTAGCTACTGTCGAAATGTCAAAGCAATTTAGAGTCTATTTAGATCTATTTTATCTATTTTTGTAGAATTTTTAACAACAAAAAAATAAAGCTTCTAGTTGGCCTGATTAGAACGTCACATGAATAAGGGTTGTAGGTTGTAGAGAAGGAAGTATACTGATTTTTTTTTCAGTCCCGAAAAATGGAGAGGGAGAAACATTGAATGAGAGAGAGAGAAAGAGACGGGGGGGGGGGGGGGGGGAAGAGGAAGGGAGCATGAGAATTGAGAAGGGAGGGAGAAAAATGGAAAACATACGGCTGAATTTGGATCGAGAGAAGGGTGAATAGGAGTGAAAAAGAGAATGGAAAAAAGGAAAACTTGAAAGAGAGAGAGAGAGAGAGAGAGAGAGTGGAGATGAGATGGAAAGGGAGGGGGAGAAAGCACTCCTACAGGAGGTCTAACCGTAAACAGTATTGACCAGTCTATGTAACTGATTTTTATGCTTTCCTCTAGAGTAGTTTGCCATCAGGTTTGATTTTCTTTTAATATATCTAGACCTACATGTATATTCTAGAACTAGAACTATTCTAGAACATTCTTCACTCAATTGTTTTTGATTGATCTGCTGGAATCCTTCTTTTCCTTGTCATCCTATTATTATTGCAGGTTGTATTTCTACCCCAAGGGTATCCAGACAGTGTGAGCAAGGACTACCTAGAATACCAGATATGGGACACTGTACAGGTAATACTCTTCTGGCTCTCTGCACTATAGATGACAACCTTGTTTCTCGTACAAAGCTGTACCTGTGAAATTTTCTACATTAGCTGTAGTGTAGAATGGTACAAGAAATAGATGTATACATGTATGTACTAAATCCAAGAGGAAGGAGGAAAATATTCATTTAGATAATTAATTTTCATCTTGGAAACTCCAAATTTTATAACAAAAAATAGTATTTCAAAGGACCCTGACTCAAGTCATCTGACAAATGTATGTAAATTCAATCCTACATTGATTTCAATGTTTCTTTTACTAGTGCAGCAGCGATTCTGTTCTACATACATTATTGCATGAAATAAGTAGACACTCTCACACTGTGTCACGTGTGACTGCATGTATTCCATAGAATTTGTAACCATGAGCCTTCAACAGTTTTCTTCAAAAGTCTGATGCTGCTCCCGAATGGATTTCTTTGCATACAGCATCAATTTCTAACAGGGTCATTATGGTTTCAAATTAAAAACAAATATTAATGATAATAATAATAATAGAAGTAGAAGATTAATATCACGATCCTTATCTCCTTTTCTGTCTGTGATTTGTAGGCTTTCAGTAGCAGCATCACAGGGACCCTGTCAACCCATGCCATGCTGAAGGGTGTAGGAGTAGGAGATGAGTCTGCCTCCGCTGCTGCTGCTACCATCACATGGCTACTCAGGGGTAAGGCATGGGACTTGGTATAGGGCAATGGTTCTTAAGTTAGGGGAGGGGAGTGGGGAGGGGGGGGGGGGGGTTGGATGATGGTTGGGGAAGGGGAAGGAGAGGGAATTTGGAATTCTCTCAGCTATGGGGAGTGGTAAGAAGACTTTTGAATTCTTTGTGAAGTGAATAATTCTCACAATATTGATGATGTATAATGGTAGAGGAAGAGGTCTCCTTTATAAGGGTACAGGGACGTCTCTAGGCCGTTGTGGCGTGCGCCTGTAATCCAAATAACAATGGAAGTTACAAACTGATTTAGCCGAGGACGCAGGTTCGAATCTGAGTCACGTCTTTCGGATGGTGACGTTTAAAGTTCAGTCCCCAGACGTAAATAATCATATCTGATTGATACACGTCTGTAAAAACCAAATACACACACACACACACACACTCTCAAAATGATACGATTGCTTTTCACTTCTGTCAGTACCGGTTGATAGTTGTTCACCAAGTATAGCATGATTGCAATTTAGTGCAGATTAACGCTTTTCTGTGCCGGGAAGTCTCACAGCACCCTACATTTTCAATTTTACTGTTCATAAGCTGGTCTCTGACCTTCATCAGGAAATATTTATAGATTTTGAAATTCCATGTATACATGTACAGTGTAATCCTATTTCATTGTCTCTTTCAAAACCCAATTATAGTTGGGTCTTATTTATTGGTAGCTCTATGAGATAATACAGAAGCATTTGTTCAGAATAACAATGAAAGTATTGATTATATGAAGTATTTTGAATTTGATAATGTTTCTCTTTCATAGATGGCACAAGTATGACTGGCAGAATCGCATTTGCTTGGTACCAAGGGTCAGTTACATTCTTCTTTCGTACATACCTCATTCTAAGACAAATTTATGAATAATTCAATAATTTCATGACTATGTCAGAATGTTAAATAGTATATGTGACAATTTGAATACTGAGTCTGAGATAAATCAGGCTTGAGTCGATGGGAAATGTGTGGTATATATATCCAAATCAAATTATTATATCCATTCGGGTGAATTAATCAGGCAGTATTCACTAGTGTCAACCAAGACATTTTGAGATGTCCTGTATGGATTCTCATTGACAAGTCTCTCTTTTCTCTTTTCCATAATACTTATTCCTTTTCGATGCAGTGCACAACATATCTGATGTGAGAAATGATTCAAATATGTAGAATAAACAATGATGCATTCTACCCCCCTTTTGTCTTGATAGGTCAAGCCTGGATAGTGATGCAAAAAGATGGAGGTAAGCATTTTTTTTTTTTTTTTTTTTTTTGGGGGGGGGGGGGGAGGAGGGGGGGGGGGTGGGGAGTTTTTTTCTTTTTCAGTTTTATTCTTATCATCTCTATCTCTATTTTCCTATCTGGTTTTCAATGGTTTCTTGAGATCCCCCATTTCTATACTCCATCTGACCCTCTCTCTCACTCTCATGAATAGCCAGTTGTATCCATAGGGTTGAAGAGTAACTAAAAGGGTGAATTTATCAAAAAGAGGTAAAACTATATCAAATTATGATTAAAGGTATTACAAAGTTTTGGGAAATTTTGAAAATGGGTGGATAGTGAATCTTTACAATTTTGATACATTTGGATGCCCCTGTGGATGTATTAAAAGCACTAGAAACTTTAGCCCCTAAAACACTTCTGCTTTCGAGAAAAATTGAATATAAAGATTTACCGGTGCTCCCGGTAAATTTTGATAAATTTAAAAAAGCTCCCACGGCCGTACAATGGTAGCTGCGACCATGAAAATTTCAGAATATGTAGTTGTGGTATATGATTTCCGAACGGGAATATCTAATCGGTCGATTTTAGTCAATAAACATTGTTTTATAGCTTAATTAATATATTGACCTTGAGAGGGAGCTATGCAACATAAAGTGTTTATTATTTACAATTTCATAACTTTAGAGTCGATTTCGACTGCGACAACGATCACTGAATATTGTAGGATCGCATATGCTTCCAATATGTTTATTTGAACCAAATTCATGACCCCATACCAAAACTTTGTATTACCTTTAAAATTATAAGTAGACATCATAGTGCTCTTACAAAATGTGTCTTCGTGTTATAATAGCAAAGTTGTATTTGCGCTCATTGATTTTATCAATTTTAAGACTACTTTTTTCTTTCTTCCATGCAGATTGTTTGCAGACATCATGAATGATGCGGCAATGTGTATAGAGCTTATCTCCGTTTTCTTTCCGCAGTACTTTGTCATCATTGCATGTGTGTCATCACTTTTCAAAGTAAGTATACTGCCCTCTCTGGGAGTATTGAAACAGTTTAATGTGGTTCACTTCTTCTGCCTTCCTATTTCCTTTGTACTAAAAAATCTGAAATGTCTATTTTTGCCCTCAAGAAAGATTTCAAGGCACGCATACACCCTAAATATATTTGTTGGAAGTATGTTTTTATACAGCCCCTGTATGAAACAAATCCATCTTGTTATCAATAATAAGAAATTAAGAAATAATTAGAGTTTTTGAAATTGTCTGTACAGAGCAAATGGGAGGGGAGCTTGCAAGGTACATATATGTCCCAAAGTTGCCAATTTGATTGCAACTTCAAAAACTCATAACTTGCTTATTTTGAAATCTGATTTTGCTTAAAATTTCACTGATTGATCCTCTCCTTCTGCTTCTATTTAAACCAATCCTATATCAGGGTGGACTTCCTTATAACTAGAGCGACATGATATTATATGGATTATGTTTTCTTAACTTTCAGTCGATGGTAGGGGTCGCCGGGGGCGCAACGAGAGCCGCTCTCACCATGCATCAGGCTCGGAGGAACAACATGGCTGATGTGTCTGCCAAGGATGGTAGCCAGGTAAGCTTGCAGGGGGAATTCCCTTCCTCGTAGAGGGGATTCCCCATTCTTATTCAAGGTATTATCGCAATCCATGGTAGGGCTAGGGGTTACAGGGAATGACAAAAGAGGAACCATGGCCTGCCAAGGATGGTAGTCAGGTAAGCATGCAGGGGAATTCCCTAAAGAGTGTATCTCACTGAGCGGCGAATGCTTACGAACGTTTCAAATTTTGGATTCGCCAACTTTTCTGACGAATGTTGACGAAAATCAGAGTACGCCTCTGCAACATAGTGACTTTTAGCGATGTTAAGCAGCACTTAGCAACATTTGAGCAAATGTTTGCGAAATTTTTTGCGAACGGCAGCTGGCGTCTATTAGCAACTGTAAGCAAATGTTTTTCAAAGATTAGCAACTATTTTAGAATCTTTTGCCACTATTTGTAAATGTTTGGGACCTTTTACTAACTCCTGGTACTTGATGGGTCGATTTTATATAGGGACCATATTGTCACAAGGTTGCTAGCATTTGCGAATCAAAAGAACTTCAGCACACTGTCTTACAACCATTTGCAAAGGCTTACAACAGTTTTGCAAATGCTTGCAACTGTTTGTGGAAAAATAAATTTGCAAAGAAATTTTTAACATGTTCAAAATAATAATTTCAACGAGAAAAACTGGTTGCGACAATGCAAACTGTTTGCAAACTATCTTGCAACCTTTTACAAACCTTTTGCAACATTTTACAAACCCTGGCGAAACCCTGAATTCGCTAAGTTTGCAAGCATTCGCCACTCAGTGAGATACCCCCTTAAAAGACTTGATCAGATGAGATGGCAAAATCGTGGCATTGTTTTTTATTTTGCTTAAGTTATTAGATGGATAATGTGTCTTGAAATGTTATTTTACGACTCTGTTTGAGAAAGTTGCCTTCAATTATTCATATATTTATGCTTAGAGATACTAAGTTAGTCTTTATCTCTTTCTCTCTATCTGTTTTTTTTCAGGAAACATTGGTGAATTTAGCAGCTCTTTGTGTAGGCCTCATCATAACTCCAATAGCTTCAAAAAACATTCTGTAAGTCACTGTAGAACTTTTAATGTACTTTCTGCAGTGTTAAAACTGTGGCACAACTCCTTGTCTTTCTTCTAGCATGTGTTGGTGCCCATCTGCGTTAAAGGTATAGACCAGTTTTGGAAATGCCCCCCTCTCAAAAAATGAAATGGAAGCTTTTATTAAGGCGAGGCGTCAAAAATATCGATACCAGCAGGCTGCCGCCTCACGTATTGGCGCATCGAGGCTGCAATTACGGCCGAAGCCTGGCTGGGGCAATTATTTTTCACTTATTAGCCCAGCCGGCTTGCGCCAGGCCGGGATCTGAGGCTCGGTTTCCATTCGAAAGGCGGCAGTCGGCGCATGCTTTTGAATGCCATTTCCTACCGCCAGCGGTAGCCGGCTGAGCTAATTTAAAAAATGCAGCCAGGACGCACAAGTGCAGTGCTGCCGCTGGCTGGTATATTTATTTTTGACGCCTCGCCTAACAATCATGTGAAAGAATATGTTTTGACTAATACGTGATGATACAAATTTTGCCGGGAAACTGCAAAAATTTAATGTAAAAGATACATAAATTAGATTACATTGATAAAATTGTAATATAAAGCATATAAAAAAAATTGTAAAAAAAAGCATTATCATCGCATACAATTAGCTTGCAGTTCTTGATGAAAAATATTGCACGATAGTAAAAAAAGGTCTAGGAAAAGGAAGGAGTGTGTTTCTAGACAGGTAAGTACTGGCACTGTAAGCTTTATTCAAATTTTTAAAGATCTTCTTTTCGAGTCACTACACAAGTCCCGTCAGTGGTCCACACAGGCTTTGGCACTGCAATTAACGGCCAAAACATGTGATGGATCAACTTCTCATCGCATGACCGTACAATACGCACATTAAAAGATTGGCAGTTTGTGGATCCAATTCATGCAGACACAGAGGTGAACATTGATATCTTTCTTTTTTCCTTTTCAGACTGACATGGTCTCTTTTCTTTCTCTGCACCTGTCTCCATCTCTACGCCAATTACCGGGCGGTGACGTGCGTCGTCATGGAAACGCTGAATCAGAACAGGTTCCACATCCTGGTCCAGGACTACCTCCACAGTTCTCATTTCAGCATGTCTGGACCTGATGCCGTGAATAGTAGAGAACCTGTTATATGGAGTAAAGTTTTAACAACGTGTATAATTCATCTCCCTTTCAGTAAAAAATGAATCAATGTGCTATATTAAAAAGATATCCTGGGGATTGTTTCACAAAGACTGAGATCGACTTTAAGTTGGACCTAACTATGGCAGGCCATTCATGCCACTGGTTGCTCTCCCTATTGGTCTCTTAGTCATGATCTTTAGACAATATTTTTTCCTTCAATAATGAACGATCACAAAAATGTAAATTCTTTAGATTTGTGACCATGATTTTCTACGTCCCTTGAGAAACCAGTGCCAGGAATGGTCAGAGGAACTAGTGGCATGAACGGCCTGCCATAGTTAAGTCCAACTTAAAGTTGATCTTAGTCTTTGTGAAACACTCCCCAGGTCCTCTGCCAGAAGAAGAAAATGATTGGAGCAATGTAAATATTTGCTCATTTGATGACTAACAAATTTTCATATGATAAACAAAATTTTTGGGTTGAACTATATGTAATTTACAGAAATCATAAATATTTGCATACTGTTGTAGATATAAATGCCATTATCAGATACCATTGTGATAAAACTGATTAGATTCTCTATTATTTTTTTGATAATTTTTGTTTTTCTCTTTCTTATTCAAATCTTTTTTCAGTCAGAGTAAAGTCAGGTAATTTTGAAGAAAAAAAGAGACTGAAATCAGGGAATTTTCTTTGCCTCCAAAGTATTTAAATAGTCATAATACCTTCATTACCTTGTCCCTTGTTTATCCAGCGGATAATTGCCTATGTTAGCATCTTTACACTTCACTTGCTTTCGTCGCCTCTGCACAGTCCCTCGTTTACCACCTGTGTAATTTTGCACAAAACAGTAGGCACCAATTGACGGAAAGATTGCTTTGTGCAACACAATTGCTATGCAAAATTACCCATTTCCGGTCTTGAATAGCTCCATGACGATTAATCTTACACTAGTGGAAATATCGATGGTGTCTTTGGTATGCATGTATCTTTGCCATGATGCATACAATGCGGCGTAGGGAGATTCTCAGTTTAGTTTGTAATGAGTTAAACTGGAAACAAGTTTCAATTGTGATCCAGGAATTTGGAACTCCATCAGGGAAAAACTCATAGAAAAATCAGGGATTTTGTTTTCACAAAATGATTGGAAACCTGATATCTGATTGTCCTGTGTATATTTGACATTGGCCATGGCTTTGACACAATTATGAGTACCGGTATTCAAGACAAGACAGTCGTCAAAGAAAAAACAATAGAGTAACATCACTTATGCCGTTAGTGCAAATTACATTAACCCTTTACCTACAGGCACTGGGTGGAACTGTATTAAGCCTATGGGAATGATAGAATCAGTAGTCAATGGGTTAAACTTAAACGAGCATATTTTCACTTGTTTGACCCACTTGTTTCTTTATACAGGGCTCTCAAGACCTCTGAAGCTCAATCTTGGTGTGCCATTCCGTACAGTAGCCAAAAGGTAAGTACACCGATATGTCAATAGCACATTCCAATATTCATGTTAAAGTGACTCGGTAACATTGTCTCAGATTCTGAAACAAAATCCTGGATTTAGCTCATGCTGCAATGATAATTATAAACCTTAAGGTCAGACAGGAATCCCATGATTTTTACAAGCCGATCGCCTGTCTGATTATCAAGATATTTATGATTGGAAATCGAAATCTAATTTTGCATTTTCCTAACAATTTTGATAACACTACAGTCTATAAGGGAGAATGAGTATGGCTCTGGCTCCTAATGGTTAGGAGCCAGAGCATATAACACTGAGTTCCTATAGGAAATATATTCATTCAGATGGTCATATCTCAGCCAATACTCCACATATTCAATTGGTTTTCAACATTTTGACATTATTTTTGATGCTCTTTCGGAAAATGAAGAAAAAAATTGAGAAATTCTAAAAATAGATTTTTTATGACATCACACTTCATCACTCTATTTGACACACTTGATGGATTGTTTTAAAACTAGTTTTTAACAAATCATGATTTTGCTATATAGAAGTGAAGTACGTGTAAAGTATATATGTAAAATGCTTGCCACTTGCATCAGTTATTGACTTGTCTTTATCAAATAAGATACAAATTCCTGATTTTGCTAGATAGATAGAAATTATGAGGAATGTGTTTATATTCAAAATACTTGCCAATATCCATGCAGTATTTTTAATGAAATGCTTTGCATTTTTTTTGGTCAATAATAAACTCATTTTTATTTGATTCATTTATTCATTTTTTTGTTTTGTTTGTTTCAGCATGAGGGACATTGAGATGTGTTTACAAAGCAATGGACAGGAAAAGTTTTTGTTGAGTTTGGATGTGAAAAAAGGTAAGCCCTTGTTTCTACATGTATCTAGTTGCTTTATCTTTCATTGGTGGGTCAATTTGTCAAAACGAATGTATCTATCGATCCGTGGAATTCATGAATACATTGTGACTTCTTGTAGCTAAACAGTTGTGAAAATTGCTATTTTCTCATCATGCTATTCGTTTCTAGTCACTTTGGTATAAATCTTTTTCTGAATAATTGATACTGGCCATGGGTTGTAAGAACCCATCTATATTACTTCATTGAATGACCCTACTCTCTTTTCCTGTTGTCTTTATTTTTATTATTTTTTTTATTACATTTTAATTTATCTCTTTTATTATCTCTTTCTCCTCCTCATAGAGGTATTTGAAATATGGGGAATGCAAAATGACTGTTGTTATTTATTGGTGCTGAAAAAGAAATATAAACAAAAGCTGAAATAAACTAGTTTCCAGTGCTTATTAAATGTTTTTGAATTGGATAGATGTATTTGAAATGTGGGGAATGCAAAATGAAGGTTTTTAGTTATTGGTGCTGAAAAAAAATCCTGATTTAATCTAGTTTTCAGTGCTTATTTATGTTTTTGTATGCCTTTATTTCCTAGGTTGTATTGATATTGTAATACATCATGATAGTACATCAGAGGATTTTATCAAAGCATGTCTACAGGCTGAAATCATCATGTATACTACATTCCATCTCCATGACAACAGGGTAAATATTCTCCCTTCATTACATGATATTACATCTTCAGTGAAAGGGCATTGCACTGTGTAGATAGTACTACTATCTACACAGTGCAACAAACTTTTCTTCTCCCATCAATGATGGGCGAACCATCTTTCATCACATGATCTACTTTTGACCCAGCTTAGAGCAAGATTCTTAGTATGTGGAATATAATGACAGAAAACTCCTGCACAACTGCTGAGAACAATAAACCAATGAGTTGGTTTTCCGCTTGGTTATTGTTAAAGGGAATTAAGGTAAATTTTAATCGGGTAGTTTTTTTTTTTTTTGGGGGGGGGGGGTGGGGTGGGGGGAGAAGAGGAAGGGACTGTTCCTATGGGGTAGTTGTCCTGATATGCTATTGAACAGATGGATAGGAAAGTAATCATTGTATTCATATAGTATTCAGTTGACCTTATGGGACACTTAGAAACTAGAATATGACACCTGGCCGGGACCCGTTTCAGAAAGCCTTCTTTCAATGACAAATGACAAAAGTCAGTGACAAATCTCCTGATAACCAATCAGATGCAAGGATTTCAGTAGCTTATAACAAGAACTGTCATTTGTCACTGATGAAAAGTTTTGTGAAATGCCCCCTTGATCCAGTCAATTAAAGAGGAGAAACATGTGCTCTCCATACTCATGTTGTTAAAGACACCAATATATTAAGCACTCATAAGATGAACCCTTGTAGCCAGTAAAATTAATATTTGCAATACTTTTAAGCTATATATTCCTTTCTTTTCTTTTGATTTGTGTGGTACTTTCAGGCGCATGGTGACAATTTGTCTAGAGAACTGACAGATATCTTAGAAAGAGGTAAGATATGAAATGATAATAAAAATATGATCTTATTTACCTAGGGTTGCCTTATCAGTAATAGAGGGGAAATCCATCCTGCCAATTACCTGATATTGATAAAAGGAGAGGAGCAGGTCAGTGAAAGTTTTGAGTAAAATCCAATTAAAAATTAGAAAGTAATGAATTTTTGAAGTTGTGATCAATCAAACAGTCTTCGACGTATCTTACAAGGTTTTCTTCAGTTTGCTGTGTACAGAAAATGTGTAAAATTTCATTTTCTTAGTTATTGATGACGGAATAATTATGTTTCGTTCAGGGGTTGTATAAAAACACAATTGTAATAATTGTATTAAACTAGTGTGCATGTATGACCGGAAAATTTCTTTAGGGAACATAGAAATTCCATGACGAGGCACCATTTAGGAAATTCTTTGTACAGTGTACCCATATGTCTTGCCAAAGGACACTAATGGCAAGGCAGGGATTAGAACCCTATAACATGTGCTTCATACATCTATGATTTGTCATCTAAACCACTTCACCTCCAAATGATATACACATTGAAGTTTTGATATTTATTATTTTGTTTTCCTTGTTTCCATGGTAATCTATCTAGGTGTGTACATGAACAGAGACGATGCCTGGCAAGCAGTCAAGGTGTCCGGCCAGATATGCAACAAACTCTTCCCAAGGTTCCTTCATGACCTAGGTCAAGCTGGCTGGGTCAAAGGTCATTCACAGCTGGGCGCCGATGAATGGAGAGCAACGTGGAGTATCAGTGGGGTCGATGCCAGGAAAGTGTTCTAAAGTACAGATCGTAGGTCAACACAAGGCAATGTCACAGGGTTCATGAATATTCATGAGAATATAGGCAGGCATTGTTGAACTTTGTAAACAGTTTTGATTTCTGGGTACGGGGGCGTGAAGTCATGTGACCCCTATCTCACGTTACTCCTTTTGGTATCTCATTCCATATGCATTTCCTTGTATATTTTTCCTTTCTTAATCTTTTTGTTATCTTTGTTATCCTTTATTTCATCCTTCTATCATATTTTCCCTGTTTTTCCTTATGTTATACTTATGTTATATATATATATATATATATGTTATGTTTTTTTTTATGGTATCGTCCTCTTTGCTTTCCCTACCGTTTTAGAAAGCTCACTATTTTACCTTGATAGAACACAGTGTAGTATATCATGTGCCCATTAGAAGGTTTTAGCAATGGTTATCCTAATGTAGTGGAGGGTATTCCTGTACTATTTGAAATTGCTATGCCAACATGCACCTTCTGGCAAAGCTCATAATGACTTGAACAACTCAGCACTGGAATGTTCATAGAATACTTGTGCAGTGTACAGTCTACAACTAGATTATTCATACGCCTGGTAAACGTGATGTTTTTTCTTCTTTTTTTCCCCCGTAACTCAAGATTGAAAGGTGGACTGGTTGAACTAGGCCTTTTTAGATATGTCACATTCTCAAGAAAAATAGATCGAGACAAATCTGTTTTTCACATACTTAAAAATCCTACAAAACCTGGTAAGGATATGAATAATTTTTGTATTAACTGTGTTAATGTACATGCACTGTATTTATTGCATTTTAAAACCAATAATATCTCTGTACAAAAGATAAATAAATAAAAAAGACTGTTTTGTTCACATCATCAGATGTACATATCATTTTCAATTGTCACTCCAGTGTATTTCAAAATGTATTTTGCTGAAATTATGTACACTTAATTTTGTATCACATGACCATATAGAGAGAAATACCTATTAAAGTTACTAAATACAACCAAATACATAACAATGTGTATCTGTTCATGGTGTATATGTACACTCAATTCTGGTTGAAAGTTTGTGGCTGGGATTCACAGAGAAAATATTTTCCTACCCATTTCAAGACAACATTTTTGGAAAGAGCTAAATTGATCTCAACCTCTTCATATTAGCAACAGTGATATTATTTTTTCTTTTATTGCTACATCGTTCTAATGATATTTCATGTCTCTGAAAGCAGTATGCAAGTTCATGAACTATGCTGAAGAAAAAAAACTGTCAATTTTGTTTAAAAATAGTAATTTTGAACTTTTCACCGTGTTGCCAATATAAGGAATTTTGATGCTTATCTCCTTATTTAAAGGTAAAGACCAGTATTGGAAACGCCCCAATTTCAAAAAATGAAATGGAAGCTCTCATTACCAATCATGTGAAAGAATATGTTTTGACTAATACATGATGATAAAAAATTTGCCGGGAAACCGCCTACTAATTCATATATTTGGTAAATTTATTTCTCTCTTGGTCTGTGAGAGATATAGGGTAGTCCCATATACATCTTCCTGTGTATAGTGCTTGTAACTTTACGAAGAATGGGCCAAATTTCTTATCATTTTGATGACTCCAGAACCTTGCAGATGATCAACCTTTTCTGATCGATTCCACAACGTTTCTTTCACAATGCAATCGCATGACCATAACTGGTCTTTACCTTTAAAATTCATGGCATAAAATGTGGCCATGCAGGAAAAATGGATGCAATGTGTGCATGAATATTTCCCTTTCTTTACGTGCATCTGCTATGCACATTATTTCTCTAGAAATTGAACTGAACTGAACTGAAAAACCTTTGTTTAAAAAGTATGCACACAATTTGAATATGTTAGTAAACCAGACTATTGCCTTGGGTTTAATTTTTTTCGAAAGCCTCTGCAATCATGTAGTTCGTTTTATGATTTTGTCTATATCTCTCTATATCTCTTACCCCCTCCCCTGCTTCCATATCCACTCCATATCATTCATCTGTCCCCTACTTCCCCGTTAAGCTGCATCAGCTCTCTCTCTCTCTCTCTCTCTCTCTCTCTTTTTTTTCTTCTCTCTCTCTCTCTCTCTCTCTCTATCGCTCTTTCCATATTACTCTGTGTCAATTAAACTAGCTCTTTAAGCTCATAATATCGAGAATGTTGTTATGACAATAAAACATTCCACCCATTAAAACAAACTAGACTAATTAACCACCGTCGCCCTAGCTCCCTTGTCATCTCCAGACCAATTAAAACACTGTATTGTATTGGCTCATGAGTGACTGTTGTACTTATAAGGCGTATGCATGTTCAAACCACTTTAACTACCATTGTCAATTAATCAACGCTATCAGAATGTACACAAGGCAAAGTCTACAGGGCAAAGTACTCTATTGCCGATGCACAAAACGCCTATTCCTCTTAAGCATGAAGCAATACCCTGAAATGGATACCGAATGCAATGGTGTGTTACAACTTTTAATGAGAAAGAGTTTCCGTTCAAAACCGGTTTATGATGTTATTACTTTAAATATTAAAGACACTCAGCCCTGAAAAAAAAATATTTAACTCATTTAGTTAGTACCACAGGAGCGGGACATCCAGTGTAGATTAAATCTGAAATGATTAATTTTTAAACTGTAAAGTAACACGGAAATAAACAGTCATTTAGTTCAAATTTTGAATGGAACATTCTCACATATAAAAGAGGGGGGGGGGGGGTCGTTTTTCCCGAAAAGGTAGTGTCACGGTTGGAATTCTGCTTTGTGTTTACGATAAGGTTTTTATATATTTCCGATACAGGGTTGAAGTTGGTTTTTCAGAACCATTTCCACTTCTAACATTCATAACGACCCTTCCCCAAAACGGGGGGGGGGGGGGGGGGGGGGGGGGGGGGGGGGGGAGGGGGAAAGAAGACTTTTTAAGATTAAGGCTATTTTCGTTTTTCTTTCATTTGAAGAAAAAAATGTTTTTCCTCTCGTTCTTTGAAATTTGAGCACCCATACTAAAGCCAGGATTATAACTAGTGCAGCTTCAGTAGTTTCAAGTAGACAGACATGATAATGATCGCTATATAAGAACCTATCATTATTATTATTAACATAACGTTTATTATATAGTTATTAATACTGTTATTACTATTATCATCTTCATCATTAATATTATCATCATTGTCATGATGATGATCATCATAGTAATTATTATTATCATCATTTTTAAAAGTGTGTCCATCATGATGATCTGATACGCCACTATGCAGGAGAGATTGATTGCCTTAATTATAACAAAAGTTCATATGATATCCATCTAATGAAAATGTCATTATGATAATTGAAAGAACTCAGAGTCTCGGAGATAGAATTCAAGTAATGGAGAGAGGAAGAGGATCAGAAGGAGAGATCTTGGAAAGAGAGAGTGAGAGAGAGAGAGAGAGAGAGAGAGAGATAGAAATAGAGAGAGAGAGAGAGAGAGTGTGAGAGAGAGCGTGAGAGAGAGAGAGAGAGAGAGAGAGAGAGAGAGAGAGAGAGAGAGAGAGAGAGAAAAAAAAAGATGTATAATGTATAAAGGTAGTGATTCAGAAGGATAGAGGGAATGAGAGAGAAAGAGAGAGAGAGAGAGAGAGAGAGAGAAATAGGAAGAGAAGTTGTACCTAATGCATACTTTACCCATAATTTCTTCTCAACGATTTACTAGTTATCCTAAAGCATCGTTTCTTATTTCCTATTCTTGAATACCATTTTTTTTCTAAACTCGTCTCCCCGTTTTCTTTTTCACTCTCTCGTCGGACATTCAATTTTGATAATTTGTTTGTGCTCGTGTTTTTCGGATGGCATCGCACAGGCGGCTGGGGAGGGGTGGGGGGGGGGCAGTCTCACTACGCTCAACTCTCTACAGGTGTTTTTTTTTTGGAGGGGGGGGGGGGGCATGTCCCCTGATCCCCCAAGAATTGGAACATTCACCTATTCGACCAATCATTCCAGGTGCATGATTGTGACACGACATGAATATGTTTTCCCGGGACTCTTCAGCTCTCAAGTCTGCAATCAATGCCAGAAAACAGAATAAAAAGCCCAGCACCTCTCACTATAACGCCGCGGAGCTCGGGGCGACGAATCCGTTTCCCATTTTCTAGCATCCCAATCCACCCCTGCATCGTATAATTACTATTTTCCACGCTCCTCTCTTTCTTCGCTGCCTTCGCTGCCAGCCAGCTGACTTGCAGAGTCGCTTTGCATATAAATTATTGCCCCATATTGGCGGCAATTTAGGACTTGCCAAGAGCTGTTTTTCTCGCTGGTTGGATGGATGATGAAACACCCTTTTCAGATGCGGGATTTTATCCGCGAGCAATGCATGGTGCATTTATTGATTTTAACGCTTTATTTGTGAACAAGTCACAACTTATGAAACGTGATTTTGTCCGGGTACATTATTGGAACGTAAGAATCATTTAGAAAATCTATACCAAGCATGCATTGATCGCTGTATTTTGTTTACGTTCTCAGCAAAAGATTGATTTATTCGTGTGTCCCGCCGAAAAAATAACGTGTCCCGTGTTGAGGCCTGCGTCATGTGACACGTCTGATTCTTCTTAATTTAATCTATTTAAGATTTCTCTTTCGTTGACCTAAATATTAAGCGGTATGAAAACTGAAGAAAAACAACAAAACTCTTCCTAAAAGTGTACTTACACATTGTAGATCATACATTTGTACTCTATAATCACCCTCTCTCTTTCTTTCTGTTTGTCTCTTGTACCGCTCTTAATTTTGTATTATTATTAGAAAAACAACTTTATTTGTCTTTACCCAATCTGACCCGTTCTTTCTTTCTTTTCTGTTACTTCCGTAGGACTAGGAATTAAATTGAAATAAAGGTTTTATCTGCCTCACCGTCACAGGCAGCGGCTGAATCGAGAAAGATGTACAATAACAAAAACATAGGCCTAATAAAATATTGAAAATATACATATATACTTAACTTAATCATTATAAGGGTATAACATGAAACAAAAATTAACTTAGATGAAAAATGTGTTTACATGTATAGATTTAATAGAATATACATTTACGAGTTGTCCTATACGACAAAATAATATCACATTTAATATGTATTGAATTAATCTGTCTAAAACGGAGAAATGGCTTCCAAAGAAAAATACAAGCATTCGAGTTATGATCACCGGTTATGAACCATGGAGAGAGAGAAGAGAGAGAGAGAGAGAGAGAGAGAGAGAAA